ATATATATATATATATACACTGTACATCCCAACAAACATGGAACTGAGCGCACCTGACTCACAGCTGTTACACCATATTTTGTGACTGTCATATATTCTGACCAGAGTGGGCACTGTTACATTTCTACAACAGAATTTGGCCGAAAATGGCAACAAAGAAGATATGCCACAAGCCAGCTGTCACAAAACATTTCAACTGTTGTCATATATTGTGACTTCACTGTAGCTTGGTAAATAGTAAAAATATTTATTCATAAACTGATTCTACTCATTGTATACATCCTTTAATGTTAGAAAAATAACTTTTGATCACTGACATGGTGACTGCTATTAAATTAGTACAGGGTCATATAATATGGACTCTAAAGTGTTCCCAAGCCAGCCGAGAGACAGTCTCTCCAGCATGTCCTGGGTCTTCCTCGGGGTCTCCTCCTGAAGCACCTCCGTAGGGAGGCATCCAGGAGGCATCCTTACTAGATGAACCACCTCAACCGGCTCCTCTCGATGTGGAGGAGCAGCAGCTTTACTCTGAGTCCSTCCTGGAGAACTGAACTTCTCATCCTATCTGTAAGGGAGAGTTCAGCTACCCTCCAGTGAAAACTCAWTTTGACTGCTTGTATCCATTATCTTGTTCTTTCRGTCACTACCCGAAGTTCGTGGCCATAGGTGAGGGTAGAATCTGACTGGTAAACAGAGAGCTTCTCCTTGCAGCTCAGCTCCCTCTTCACCACAACAGACCAGTACAGAGTCTGCAGTACTGCAGAAGCTGCAAATACACACATAAATCCATTTAATCCTCTTATTTACAGGCTCTATTGATGTTCTGGCCTCAGGCATGATCAGTAGGGTACTCATAGCAATGGGGGACTATGTTGTTGGGGACATTTGCCCCTGGGAGGGTCTCCCATGGCAWACAGGCCCCCGGGKAGGGATCAAATAGCTCATCTGCTAGCTCGAGAGGACTAGAGGAGGCCACCTCCACATGGACCCACCACTCGTGGGGAGGACCATCAAGATAGGTGCAATGCATGCCGGGCAGCAGGTGAGGGCGGGTCTCTGGCTGTGCTGGTTCCTGGCGGCAMAGACTGGCTCTGGGGACGTGGACTGTAACCTCACTAGCAGTTAAGGAGTTGGAGCTTGTGGGTGAGGTTTTGTGTTACCAGTTAGATATAGTTGGGCTCATCTCTACTCAAAGCTTACTCCTGAAGAAGGGCTTGAATTCCTCCTACTCTGGAGTTTTCCAGGGAGAGAGGCGTCAGGCGGGTGTGGGGATACTCACAAACCCCGGCTGTATGCATCTGTGTTGGAGTCCACCCCGGTGGAAGAGAGGTTGCCTCTCTGCATCTACAAGCTGCAGGAGGGAAGGTTCTGACTGTTTGTGCTTATGCACCAAACATCAGTCAGATTTGGAGCCATGCATGTATGAACATGTCTATATGTGTATGTATGGGTTACAGTGGGGTGCAAAAGTTTGGGCAGCCTTGTAAATTTTCCTGATTTACGTTTATAAATCATTGATTGTTTGGATAAAAACAATGTAAAATAGATCATATAGGGTACAAACACAATGATATTTGAGAAGTGAAATGAAGTTTATATGATTTACAGAAAGTGTGCAATAATTGGTTAAAAAAAATTAGGCAGGTGCATAAATTTGGGCACCAAAAAAATCCCTTAACTCAGTATTTAGTAGCTCCTCCTTTCACAGAAATAACATTCTCTAAACACTTCATACAGCTTCTAATGAGAGTCTGGATTGTGACTGAAGGTATTTTAGACCATTCTTCTTTACAAAACATCTCTAGTTCATTCAGGTTTGATGGTTTTTGAGCATGGACATCTCTCTTTAAGTGACACCACAGATTTTCAATAATATTCAGA